GGCCATTCCCGTTACTATTACCCTTTTTCTAATTAATATGAGCTGTTGTAGTTACCTTACCAAGGTCATTCCCGTAGTTACTATTTTCGATAATCTTGGTCATCTTCGCCTTCTCTTATTTCCCCATCATCACCTTCCTTTATTTCCGTCATGATGGCGTTTCCGCTTTCCTACCCTTATACCTGTCAATATCAAGTTCCTTCCATCAAGATCTGTTTTCCACCAGGATTATAATCATCCCTGATATTATCACTTCTGGTTATTCAGGCTATTTTAATATTTTCACATGTCGGCTATCGTCATCTCCCCTTACCACATGTTATCATCTGGTGGTCATCTTGAAATTGCCAAGGGGTGGTGAATCCTTTCCAATACATAAGTCAGTATCTGCTCATTTATGCATGCGTACAATGTATTTCTAATTCTACAAGTGTTTTTTTTAACTTTGTTGTAGTATGTATGCGCGAATGAATTTGCCTGACCAATTATGGAAGGGACAATGAGTAGGTGATGAGCACGAGTGTCGAGGTACATGTATTGCAAAATTACAGATACACACACATGCACACACAAAAACACACACACGGACACATGCACTGTGATGCACATGCAGACAGACACACACACAGACATACACACACACATACAAACACCAGAGACATGAATGAAAGGGAGAGAGATCTTTCGCGGACGAATTATCAGCGGGAGGACTGGAAAGATGTCATAGTGGCTGTGTTATGGATTGTGGCGAGGCCAAGTGGAAGGGGTCGGAGAGTGGCTGGGTATGGGGAGAAGGACGGTGGCTGGTTATGGGGAGAGGGAGGGTGGCTGGTTATGGGGAAGGGGGGGGGGAACGGGAGAGTCAACGCATTGCTGTATACAAATGATAGTAAGTTAATGGTGCAGGATAATGGTAATGATCTTAGTGCCTACGCATCAAATGGCCATCATTGGTAAGAATGCTAGCATATGGCCAGATAGCTTCAAGAGTATGATTAGTAAGTAGAGGCGGATGGACAGGGATTGGTGAGGGGTGATATGTTAGGTGGAGGTGGGATGAGGGTGTGAGGGGATAGTGATGGGGGGAGAGGGGTAGAGCTAGAGATAGAGAGAGAGGGAGGAGGAGCAGGGGGAGAGAGGAGGGGGAGAGGGGGAGCGAGAGGGTGGGGAAAGGTTTATCTACGATACATCACATGCACAAAAGATAAGATATATGGCAAGGTTATCGTTTTTTGGGGGGGGGGCGACGGAGAGCAGCCGATGGGTAGGGTTTTCTTTGCCTTAGTTATTTCTATTATTTAATTCTTTCTTTTTCCCATAATCCCTTGGAGGAACAGCCGATGGGAAATGACGAATGGCCAGAACTTGAATATAACGGAGCGCGATAACAGTGTTAGTTCGTGCAAAGGAGATGAGCGCAAAGCATGAAAAAGGCAGGCATAGCAGTGTAGAAGTGTACAAGTCTGTGTAATAGAGAGAGAGAGAGAGAGAGAGAGAGAGAGAGAGAGAGAGAGAGAGAGAGAGGCGGGAAGGACTGTGCTCCGTTATCCATTACACCATCCTTCAGAACATGGGGGATGATACAGCTTCTTAAAACAGTCTGGTGGGGTGGATAGGCCGAATGAAAGGAAGTAGGGTTATCCGAGCCGTGTGAGTATTTCATCATCCCATCGAAGGGACATTTGAGATAGCCTCAATCTTTCAAGGTTCGCAGCTACGTGGTCTTGGTACGTAATCTTTGCAAAAAACCTTCGAGGAATCGGGCAGAGCATCATTTGTGATGCATAAATCTGTATGTATGTGTACAGTATTTTTTTTTTAAATCCTACAGGTCCCTATTATAATACGTATGGGAAGGTGAACTTGTTTGGCTGCATGTGGAAGGGACAATGAGTAGGTGATGAGCCCAGATGTCGAGCTACATGGTGTTGTAGAATCACACACACACGCACACATACGCACAGACACACACACACACACGCAGACACACACACACACACACACACACACACACACACACACACACACACACACACACACATACATAGATCATTAGAATCTTTTATATCCCCTCCCCCCAAAAAAAGGGGGGCTCTTCTATTTGATACACTGACTATCTTCTTAAAAATAAGAAAACCTATTATACCTATTTACTAATAACTAATTTTGCATAACAAATAAAAATTAAAAATTAAAAAATAATAAATAATAAATAATTAAAATAAAAAAATAATAAGTTATAACGTTTTCAAAATAAATTTAAAACAAAATCACTCCTCAAAAAATTACGAAATATTAATTATAAAGTATAACAGAAATATAATACCACCTAAACTTGCTAACAATTAATTACTAAATCAAAAAATAACCAAGTACAGAATCCTACCCCCCGAAAAAAAAGGGGCCTATCCACGCGTAACACATACACAATAACCAACAACAGTTCTTGGGCGGGGGTTTAGGGGTTTGCGTACGCGATGTGACGCTAGTACTGTGCCAGGGGTGAGCGTTGTGCGGGGGATACGTATGCAGTAGTCGCTTCGAAGCGCAGTGTATGTCATGTTTTTTCGTAGCTTCCAAGTTTTTGTCTTTGTTTTGTTTTGTTTGTAGTGTCGTCTCGTTTTTACGTTATGGCGGAATTTGGATCGTAGTGACAATGAAGATTTGTCGTGGGGTGATGGAAGCGTTTCGTTCGGTGTCGTATGTGACCCGTCACGTCTCTCTGTTTGTCGTTATGGGTTGTGTTGCCTTCGTTTTTGGTTAGGTACAGTGCTTCCGTGTTTGTTTTTTTGTAATGTTTTTTTATATATATATATAACGTTTTTTTTTATAAAAAGACCAGAACTTTTTTTTACGTGGAATGCAAACAAAGGGGAGGCCACTCTCTTCTGTCCAGTATCCTATTATGAGTCCCATAACCGTGGGGTTATGTGAGATCAGGTTTCTATTTTAACGTATTGCGTTTAGCACCAGGGGTATGTGCCATTTGTTTCTATAGTGAGCAGAAAGTCGAGCAGATAGACATCGGGAGATTTGTCAGATGTGCGATCTAAGTGGGTGGACTGATGGGATAGGATGGGGGTGGGTGATGCAGATGTGGTGGGCAATAAGGAGATAGAACAGAGGTGCTGGGTAAGATATCTTTTGGCCGGGTTATGAAGAAGCCGGGGGGAGAGGGAGGGAACGGGGAATATTCAGTTCCATTATTGTAACCTTCTGTCCCAGTTCTGCTGTCGGCAGTTTTTGCCATATGACGTTAGTTTGGCGACGCCTCAACAGACTTCCCCTTATCCAGACCGTTCCCGCTATTACAACCTTATTTTTAATCATATCAGCTGCTGTGATTACCTTATTTAGCTGATTTCCATTATAACTATCTTCAGCCGTTTCCGCCATTTTCGCCTGCCCTTATTCCCGCCTTCAGCCATTAATGCTTTCCTACCCTTCTCCCCGTCATTATCAGGATCATTCCTCAATTATGATCTTGTTGCCTTGGGCATGATTATGGTCATCCCCTGCATTATTACTTTCGACCATCTTCACTATTTATCTTTTCCGCATATCCGTCGTCATCACCTCGCCTTATCATCTTTGCCATTATCCAGTAGGGGGTTACTACACTCATAATGGACTTAATGATTGTTCATCATCCATAGTAATCTTAAGCTGAGTCATTTTTTACCGTAATTATGACCTAGGTAGTTATTTTTAAACTGCCACGGGGTAAAGCCACAGCCAGTAAGTGGAGGGTTAATAGCCTGTCCGGTTTAAGCGGATCATTGAGGGGGCGGACCGATTACACGGACAGGAAAGGAAAGCCCAAATTACTACAGGCAGTCCGCAGGGTGAAGATTGATTCGACTAAAAAGGGAAAGCAGGGTCATCCGAGCCCTGTGAGTATTCCAGCATGCTCATCGAAGGGGCATCTGAGGTAGCCATCACCTTTTAGGCTGGTTGGTAATTGCTCCCCTTGTCCCGTTTCGCGACTGTATACATCATTCCCCCCTTACCTTGCTGCTCGCTGCACTTCACATTATTGATCTGCCATATCTAATCTATGCGTACGTGGTCCTTGGTCCCCGTGTTGAAGGGCAAAGTGGGTGTAGATTATGGACATTATGTTTGAAGTAGGAAACTTTGAGGTAGCGCTTCTAGGGTTAAGGCCAGAACTAGTAAAAAAGGAAGGGGGGGGAAGAAAGTATCAGGATCATGAGAGGGAGATGGGTAAGGCAAAGCAAGTCCGTAGTTAGTGGGTGGGAATTGTGTGTGGGATGTGTTTTGTCCAAGGAGGGGATCTACGTGAGGGTGGGAGGAGAGGAAGAGGATTCGGGGTAGAAGAGGTTGAGGACGAAAATAAAGGCTCGTAGTTTTCATCGCTATGCTTGTTAACTTAAGAAAATAAGCCCTCGCGGTGAAACCAATTTGAAGGCTGCAGTTGTTCAGAACGTAGTGGGAATGAAGCATTTTTCCTGTAAAGAGATATTTTTTCAGCATAGATTTTTATGTATGTCCGCTCCAGGACTTGGGTCAAGTAGCAGGATCGGGTAAGTACTTATGAGAAGCTAAGGGCTTAGTTTTCGGCCAAGACTGAGGTAGTGTTTCGATGGAGTAAATTCCTTAGAGTGTATGGAGGTTTGGTAGGGCAAGTGCATGTTGTAGAAGGCGTGTATTTCAGGGAGCAGATGAAGGGGTAGAAGTGAGCCAGAACATTGGAGAGTGTATTTGAGCGAGCAGATGAAGAGGTAGAAGCGTGCCGGAACATTGGAGGAGGTGATGGTGAGGGCATGCAACAGGAAGTGCAAGAGAGAGAGGCATAGGCCTATTTGAAGCACGAAAGGAGGTTACGCTTGTCACGAGTTAAGGTTGGATGGATACGTGAGATCAGCAGGTGGAGTCGACCCCTGCATTGCGTAGAGGACGGCCGTCCATTTGTGTGTGTTACGAAGCACTATGACAAAGCAACCCGAAACGATACGGGAATCTCCATTTGATCCACTGACCTGTACTCATATATAAGCTGTAACTTCTTATCTTCGCCAACATGTGCCTCATACCAGCAGTTCCTGCAGACAAGGTCATGGTAAATCATGCCAATAGGAAGAGAGCGAGAGGGGAAGAAGTTAACGAACTTGAAGGGAGGACGGAGAGAGAGAGAGAGAGAGAGAGAGAGAGAGAGAGAGAGAGAGAAAGGGAGCACTGATGGCAGTGCCATCACGGTTGGCGTAGTAGCCAAAAGAGGAGGGGTGGCGCATCCCCTAAAGCGCTTTTCGCCGCTTGCGCCCGTCACGACTCATCAGAGGGTGGAGTTTCCTCTGGCTCCCGGGTAGGAGGTGAAGTGGTGGGGGGTGATTGGGGTGAGAGGGGTATCGTTTTGTGTGAGTCAAACCTTACCACATGATCATTCATGTCGGCATCTGAGAGGTGGTCCTCAATTGCCACCATCACCAAATTACCTTAGCGCAAAGTTGCTGCACCGGCTGCCGATCGCAGTGTCTGGCCCGCAAGCATGTATTGAAGGCAGTGCCTGCTGATCGCAGACTTTGGGGAGAGTTGCGATGAACTCTGAAGAGTTGTCCAGGGTTGAGAACAGCAGATAGAGAGAGAGAGAGAGGAGATGATGAGGCCTGTAGAAGACAGCAACTATGGAGGAAGAGTAGCTGTGGCGCTTGAGCGCAGAGGCCAGGGAGAGGTAGAGGAGGAGGAGAGTGGAGAGGGAGAAGGAGGAGAGTGGAGAGGGAGCGAGGAGGAGGAGAGTGGAGGGGGAGAGAGCTATGTAGGGGAGCGAGCGGAACATGAATCGCCAGGGGTGATGCGTTCAAGGAGTCAGCCTCTTGGAAGAAGAGGACTTGCAGACTCGCTGTTCCATAGTGTATAAGTAGGGAAGTTTCTGACGTGCGAGATGTTGAGGGAGAGGTTGAGGAGGGTGCAGGTTTGGGCTAGGGAATGTGGGGGGGAAATTTTGGTTTGGGGATGGAGGGGTGTGTGTGTGTAAGGGGAGGGGGGGCACGTGAGGGTGTATGGGTTTGCGAGGGAGAGTGTGTGTGTCTGGTCTATGGGGTGTGTGTATGTGTATGCGATCTTGTGAGGGTGCGCGAATATGCGTGTGGGTGTGTATGGGAATTCGCGTGTTTGGTGTGCGGGTGGGCAGTGTTTGTGGGTGAGGTATTGATAGGTATATGTGATGGGGTGGGGGGGTAGAGTTGGGGGTATGGTGGTAGGAGTGTGGGGAGTAGGGAGTTATGGCGGGAGTATGTTCATGCATGAGGCAAGTGGAATGGGTGTTCGTCGTTTAGTGTTAGACTATGGCGGTGCAGCGTTCGTCAGTAGCGTGGCGTTCGGGTGTTGGACTGTGATTTTGGACTGCAGTGTCGTTTCGGGGGTTTGGATCTTTTGGTTTTTGTTTTTCTCATTTTGTATTTTTATGGGTGGGAGTTGGGATGTGAGTGGTGGGGGTATGTTGGCGGGTAGTGGGATTTTGTGCAGAAGGTACCGTGGGTGTGGGGATACGAGTGTTTTCATGTGTTTTTTTGTCTTGTGTGGTGCAGGGAGTGGTCAGGGGAATTTTTTTGTGTGTCAGTTTGAGAGCCGGTTGGTGGGGTATCGATGAGCCTATGTTTTTTTGGGTTTGCGGTATGGGGGCCGGTGGGCGGGGCGTCTTGTGGATATATGTTTTTAAGGGTGGGGGCTGGGGTAGGTGCCAGGGGGGTGTAAGTGTCTGGGGGGTAGAGTGCGGGGGACCGGTTGCCGTAAGTATTCTGGGTGTGGTTGGGGGGCCGGTGGGTGGGGCACCGGGTCGTATTTGTTTTGAGTCCGTGGTTTGGGGGCCGGTAGGTGGGGGACCAGTTGTCGTCTGTTTGGAGGGTATGGTTTGGGGGTTGGTGGGTGGGGCACTGGTTCTGTTTGTGGGTTGGGGCCTTTGTGGTGGGGGAGGGGGTGGCAGGGGCTGTGTATGTGAGTTATGGGCAGAGGGTGGCATTTGTTTATGTTTTTTGTGTCCACGGGTGTTTGTATGAGTAAGTCCATATGTGTGTTTTGTGTATGTGAGTTAGGGGCTTTGTTTGTGTGTGTGTATGTATGGGTATGTGCGGGGGTTGAGTGTGCGGGTGGGGGGTTGGGTTGGGAGAGTTTATGAGTGTGTGTGTGTGTGTGTGTGTGTGTGTGTGTGTGTGTGTGTGCTCGCGCGTGTGCCGGGGGGAGGGGAGGGAGGACCGCTCCCCCACCAATCAATCAATCAATCAATCAATCAATCAATCAACCAATCAATCAATCAATCCATCAAACAGTCAATCAATCAATCAATCAATCAATAAAAAAAGAATCAATCAATCAATATTTATTTTTTTTTCTAGTTTTTTAATTTGTTTTGTCACTCAACGAAAACCACCCCCTCAAATTTTTAATTTTTTTTTCTGTTTTTTTGTAGGTGGTAGTGGCCGATGTGTGCAGGCGGTGTGCGCGCGCCCCCGCCTGCGCGTGGCGCTGCCGCAAAGTTCCTCAGCTGCGCGGCCTCAGCCGTGGCCGAGGGGGACACACAGCCTAAGGGTAAGTTGGTCGGCGGCGAGGTAGTCATCGGCGGTCGCAAGGCCGGGGCCTATTATGACACTTGCTCGACGCAAAACTTCATTAGTCACGCGTGCATTGAGAGGCTGCGCTTACAGGGGCAAGTGCAACGCTTGAGTCGACCTGTGCCAACAAACAGCGCATCGTAGTCAATGACTACCTTAAAGACATTGAGTGTCTTTTCCCGTACGTGGGAAGGGAACTGAGACATCGATTCTCGTTCCAAGTCAGCGATGATCTCCCTATGGATATCTTGTTAGGAATGTACTACCTCTCGGTTGGACAGCCCCAGTTTGACTGGGACCGAAAAGTGGTCAAACACACTTTGCCCAGAGGGGGAACCGCTAGATTACGTAAGTTTAAGGCTAGTAGTCTAATCGAGTCCTACGGATGCATGTGTGCGACCGCGTTCTATAATTATTATAAGCAAAATCAGGAGGAGGGTATGTACTTAGTTTATGTCTCTGCAGCAGGCGAGCCAGTGAAAATGCCGCCGGATATAGAGGGAGTAGTCGCTAAGTACCCTGATCTATTTGAAGAGTCAAAAGGGGCTGTTGAGAGGGAGGTTGTCCACGCGATAGAGATTATCCCAGGGTCTAGCATTCCAAAGGGTAGGATCTATCGGATGTCTCCAACGGAGCTTGATGAGCTTCGCCTACAGCTCAAGGAGCTCATAGAGAAGGGTTGGATCCGACCGAGTGTTTCCCCTTACGGATCTCCTGTCTTATTTGTACCGAAGAAGGCGGGAACATTGAGGATGTGCATTGACTATAGGGGCCTCAATGCCATCACTGTGAAGAACGCAGAGCCCCTACCGCGCATCGATGACTTGTTGGACCGAGTGCAAGAGTGTCAGTACTTCAGTAAGATAGATCTGAAGTTCGGGATCAACACAAAACCGCTTGCAATACGGCTCGAGGATCAACACAAAACCGCTTTTCAAACCAGGTACAGTATGTACGAGTTTGAGGTGATGCCTTTCAGTCTTTGCAATGCTCCTGGCACCTTTCAGCACGCCATGAATCGGATATTTCATGACTACTTAGATAAGTTTGTCATCGTGTACCTCGATGACATACTTATTTTCAGTAGGACTAGCGAGGAGCACGTTGGCCATTTAGATAAAGTCCTTAGTCTCCTTCGGCGGCACAAGTTCAAGATCAACGGGGAGAAGTGCGAGTTTGGCCACACCCGGATCGTGTACGTGGGTCATGAGATTTCCGCGGAGGGATTAAAGCCCGATGACACGAAGGTGGCCAACATTCGTGACTAGCTGCGTCCTCAGTCTGTGACTGAGATGAGGTCCTTCTTAGGGATGCCCGACTACTACCGTAACTTTGTCAAGAACTATAGCATCGTGGTCGCCCCTTTGATGGACCTGACCCGCCTTGACACCCCGTGGGAGTGGACAGACAGGTGTGAGGCTGCCTTCAGGCATCTGAAGCATGCTCTAACACACCATGAGGTCTTGAAACTTCATGATCCTGACAAGCCTTTCGTAGTAACCACGGATGCCAGCCAATATGGCATCGGTGTCGTACTTGCGCAGCGGGAGGGGAAAAAGAGGCCGGTAGAGTACATGTCCAAAAAGATGCCCTCTCAAAAGTTGGCCAAGTCCACTTATGCGACGGAACTCTACGCGATCTACAAAGCGTTGACTCACTGGAGGCACTACCTCCTGGGTCACTTCTTCTATGTCTGGACTTATCACCAGACTCCGAGGTGGATGAAGACTCAACCGGTACTCTCCGATGCTCTGAAGCGATGGATCGAAGTCATAGAGCAGTATGACTTTGAGCCCCAGTACATTAAGGGGGAGCACAACAAGGTTGCTGATGCGTTGTCGTATAGGCCAGACTTCCTGGGTGCACTTGTCACTGAATTTGGGCTTGCGGACGATGTTACTCAGTCTTTGACTCTTTGGTGGAAGCCTATCTCGAGGATCCTTTTATGGCCGAAATCATACGCAGACTCGAGGCGAAAGACAAAGCAACGACCAACGAGTTTGTGTTGGTCAATGGCCTGCTGTTCCTTGAGAAGGCCGAAAATAAACGTTTGTGTGTTCCAAATCGAGAGTCTTTGCGTAGTTTATTTTTAAGCGAGTGTCATGATGCCACCGGATATTTTGCGTATAGGAAGACTGCAACAAATCAGTTACAGCGGTTCTGGTGGCCCACAATGATGAGAGATGCGAAGCTGTACGTGGAGACTTGTCAAGTGTGTCAGAGAGACAAGCCACGTACACATGCCCCTCTTGGGCTTCTTAAGCCCCTTCTGATTCCGGAACGGCCCGGTACGAGCCTGTCTATGGATTTCATGGACACGCTGGTCACCAACAAGAGCGGAATGAGATATGTCTATGTCATTGTGGATAGGTTTAGTAAGTATGCTAGATTTTAGTTGCAATGTCCGCTACAACTAGGACCAAATATGTAATAAAGTTGTTCAAGAGAACTGGGTCAGAGACTTTGGGCCTCCAAAGTCTATTGTGGGTGACAGGGATGTCCGATTCACCAGTGAGTTGTGGAAGGCTGCAGCTGCAGAACAGGGAACACAGCTCCAGATGACTTTTGGGAACCACCCAGAGGCAAACGGGCAAGCAGAGCAGCTGAACCGCGTTGTACAACACCTGTTGTGGCACTATATTAAGCCCAATCAGGTGGACTGGTATGAGAAACTTGCTCTCATCGCCAGCCTGTACAACAACATTGTTCACAACACCATTGGGGTGAGCCCTACATTGTTCACAACACCATTGGGGTGAGCCCTAACAGTCTGCTACATACTTTCAAGCCTAGACTGCCCCTAGACTTTTTACTACCTGAGAACCAGCCGACTGCTGCACCGGGCACACTAGAATTTGCCTATCGATATGAACAACTGATGCAGCAGGCAGTGGAACAGACGCACAAGGCACAGGCGGCAATGATAGAGTCTGAGAACAAACACCGCCGCCCGTCGACATTTCCGGTAGGTGATAGAGTCTAGGTCAAGTCCTCAGAACTGGGACCAGAGCACGGGATTTCCCGCAAGCTCATGCCACAGTACTTTGGACCATGGGAGGTTCTGGATATTGTCGAGGGTGACCCGGATGGGCCGTCTTATGTAATCTGGATCCCTGGTCACCTTCGCACTTACCCCGTCTTTCACGCCTCCAAACTCGCACCTTTTAAGGAAACTGATCAGTTCCCCTCGCGTTGCTCAATGCTGCCCCCAACCATGGATGGAGAGGTCGACATCGATGACATCGTGGACCACAGGGAAATGCCAGTTCCAAGACCGACAAGCAGGGGACGTCCTCCAAAGCCGAAGCTGCAGTATCGCGTTCGGTTCAAACATCACATTGATCCTAAGGAGGACAGATGGTTCAGCCGGGAGGAACTGATGCAGACCGCTCCACAGGTTGTCGGTCAATACGAGAAGTCACTGCAGAAAGGAAAGCGCCAGATTGAGTAATGGAACTTCTCAGAGGACTGTCGAAGTATGGAGGAGGGAATGCGAGGCTCAAGGCCTCAATACGCCCTACTGGGCCCTGTTTTCAGTACAATCGGCCGCCCTAAGTGAAGGCAGGCTCGACCCAGGGACTACAGGCCTATTTTGGGGTCACTGCGCAGCTGGGCAAATTCAGGCAGTTGCGCAGCGCCAGTTGGTTAAAAGCGCCCAGGCCCAGGGTGCCTTTTACGCATGTAACTGAGGCAGGCCCTGGGCCAGATACGCAACATGGACCGAACACAGGCCGTGGGCAGTTGGACACGGGCGACCACCAGAGGCCCAGGGCCTGATTCGTTTGGATTGGGGCTCAGCCTCTCTGGGCCTACCGGAAGCTTCTGGGCAGGGGCCCAGCGCAGCCAGGCTTCACGCAGCAAGCAGGCAATTTCCATTTAGGAAAGTGCCTGCCCACGCATTCGGCACTCGGGCACTGGCGGCATGTTGCGCGAGCGCTGCTGCGCTAATTGCTGGCCAGGCCCACGCGCTCACGGGCGAGCAGGATGAGCAGGCAGCCATAGCCGAGCTGCACTGCGCTATGCTGGATGGGGCACATGATGGTCCTTGGGTGCATGTGGCATCTGTGAGTGGGGGATCAAGGATGTGAGTTATGCGAGAGACATACCTGGTGCTTGAGGCGAGCGGCATTGGCAGAGATCTGCTCGTACTTTGGGGAGTTGTTGACGTCACCAGCAGCATTGTAGATAGGGTCTGCCATTCGTAGTCTGGGCGCCAAGCGCCAGATAGGATATCGACATTGGTTCATTGTTGATGATGATGGGACTATTCGCACATTGTCACTTGTGAGCTTTTGTTGTGCTCTTATTTGGTGGAACTCGTGATGCAATTCTGCTTTTGGTTCGAGGTCACGACTATCTGGTTTCATGTGTATGATGCTGTTTAGTTTCTGGAATTCGCTATTGCTCATTTTCCTGGCACTAGGAAGATTTTCATGACTGGCCAATCACCCGGGCGTGATGCCCAGGGGGGTCTGACGCCCGGGATACCCGGGACTGGGGAAAAATATTAGAAAAATAAAATAAAAATTGGTGGTGGGGTTTTTCCGCGCTCTCCGAGAGGAGCCCAAATCCGGGCTCTTTTCTTTTTTTGAAAGTCGGGTACTGGTAGGGTGATCGTCCTGAGGGCTGGTCACGCTGAGGTAGGATAGTAGGGATAGGGGATGCGCTAGGGTATTGACGTGAGGATGGGATCGGTGGTGTCGTCGCCTCCTCAGAGCGACCACCGGTCACCGCTTCCGACAATCAATGTGTGCCTAGTAGCTGGCCTCTACAACACCCTGGACTTTTCGTAAAAAAAAAAAAAAAAAAAAAAAAAAAAAAAGAGTTGGGTGTCAAGGGAGGGTAAGGGCAGTATAAATGGATTTTAAAGGGGCTAAAGTGGTTTAAAGGGGGGTGACTTAGTGTGATTTGGTTATTTGTTTTTTTATCTTCAGTTCCGTGAGGAATTCTGATGTGACCCTCAGCCAAAAGTTGTTTGTATTGCAATTCTACACACACAAAAAAAAAAAAAAATCAGATTTTTTTTATTTTTTTTTTCCCCGCACTGGGGCTGCCTGGGCCCATGCCCGGCCGGTCACCCGGTCGCCAAACCGGGCGTGAAGTCGGGACCAGGGCGCCCGGGATATCTCCCTAGTAAAAAAGGAAACAGCCGCTGGGACGGCGCATGAGCAGGTGCTGTGGCACGTGCGGCACACCGGACAGTAAGGCGCAAGGTGCGAATACAAGTATGGTTCAAAAACAAGAAAAGGAGTTCACTCTTTACAATGGAGTGTCCCGGGTGATATTTTGACCCATTTCCTGAGTGGAGGCATTGTACCTGGGAATTCCTGCACCTTGAGATGACACAGATCTTAAGCCCCCGAGAGTTTCAGCGCATACACCGCCCACCCGCGCTCGGATGAACGGGCCTGGAATGGAGCACCCAAATTCATCCGAGTAGAACGTTTCTGCCTTATCTTTTTCAGCGGCCAATATATGGCCGCGGTAGGCTACAGGGGGAGTTGCACTTTGTGTCATCTACCCAGTGCTTAGCAATTAAATCCAACAGTGAGGACAAGAGGTGAAAGTTCAGAGAGAAATTTATGAGAAAGAGTTTGCTGTGGTATGAGGGCTGTAGGTCAAGGGCCGACCTGAGAGAGAGCACATGAGGTCAAGAATTTACAAAGTGACAACAGTGTAAATGATTTAGATGACAATGACCTCGATCCAACTGATTTTCAGCCCACAAAATAGAGGCTTCGCCATTGCGAGCTGGATATGGCGGGGGAACAGGAAAGTGACTGCGAGAGGGGATAACCGAGGTAGGTGGTTAACCAGGGGGACTACCCCAAGAATGGGCCAGGATTGTTTACAACGAAAAAGCACTGTAGAAACAGGGAGATCAGGAGGATATACACAGAGAGCAGGCTATATCACCTAAGGAGTGCAAGTTTTGGGGCACGGTTTGAAGTAGAATCAAAAGCTAGAGCTGCAAACACAGAAAAAGAGTTGAGAGCTAGGTGGGATGCTCTTGAGGTATGGCACCCTACCTTCTTCCCTCAGACATAGGTCCCTCATTTAATACGCTTCACTACGAGTCTTATTCGAATAGAACACCCGGGCGTTTTTCTTTTCTGCGGGTCACCAGTCCAGTTACTTATCACCAGCAAGCATGATACAAAAGAAAAAGTATTCGTAACGAAGGCTAGGCTATTCACCCAAGGCGTGATCTCGCATGAGTGGCGTGTGGTCGGGAGACTCCCATTGGTACCCCCGCAAAGGGCCTCCCGCCCGGGCACCCGTCTTCCATTGTGTCTGACCCCTATCCCCCGTTACCCCTCTCCCCCCACCACCAGTCTATCCTAC